TCGAGCCGGTTGTCGGACCACATTCGATAGAAGTCCGTCCGCATCATCACCCCCTCGTCCTCGATCAGGGTGATGGGCTGATTCGGCGTCGCGCGGGCGCGCTCCTCCGCCAGGCGGACCCCGTCGAGCCCGGGGGGCGTCGTCGCCTTCACGACGGCCGCGTCGCGCACGCAGTCGAAGCGCCCGATCGCGGCGTAGTGCGCGTCGGTCCAGCCGTCCTCCGCGGACGGCGGCGAATCCTTCGCGTGCAGGATCGCCAGTAATATCGGGTACGCCACCCCCATCGAGAGATCCCGCTCCACCACCGCGGCGTCCATGCGGTATCGCACCAGGCCATAACACATCGCCTTCCACCACGGGAAGGCGGCGGATTCGCCCTTCGCGGCCTCGCCGCCCGCCGAGTTAAAACAATCGTTAAAAAGACAATAAATTCGATTCGCCATGACGATCGGATGCCGTTCCGAGAGGAAATCGCTGGTCAAGACCGGCCATTGAAAGTTCTCGTCCGGGGAAAAGGCCAGGGGGTGCTGCATAAGGCGCTGGAGCTTTCGGTATAAGGACGGCGGCCGCGCAAACAAGGCGGCACTGCCAGGGAGGAATGCCGAGGAATCCCCCGACCTCACGGCCGGCTCGGCGTTGGTGGCGTAGTGTTGGGGGGTCATCCGCCGGAAGTGGCATTCCTGCAGGAGCGCCTCGCTGAGGAGGGCCGAAAAAGACCACACCGGGCGGGGAAGGGAGCGCAGTTCCCCCAAAAGCGCCGCGCCGCCGTTGGGGAAGAGGTTGGAAATGGTATCCTCATCGGTGAGGACGCCGTAGTACTCGACGTAGTCCTTCCAGCCTAAGAGCCGCGTTAAAAGAAACAACAAGGCCGATAAATACTCCAACAGCGACCACAGCCGCTCTTGGATTCGACAGCTTTCGTACAAAATGTGGAGTGTAAACGCGGCGGCCGCGCAGATCGCCGGGGGCCATATGAGCGGCTTCGGGGCGTCCGCCTGGGATCCCCTGAGGCCGCCGCCCCAGGCCACCCCCGACGATCCGTCTTTCCCGCCCCGCTCGCCCAAGGAAGGCGGCCCAAAGGAGCTCCGGAAGGCCTCCACGGCCGAGGCGGTCAGCGAGCAGGGGTCGAGGCATAACGTATAGCGAGGCGAGGACGGGACGGACGAAATCAACGGCCCCCCATCCCCGCCGGTGCGCGGGGAGCAGGAAAGCGAGGTCCGCGCCGCCCTCCCTTCCGCATTCGCCCCGAGGCTGGCGGCGAAGACCCTCAAAAGCAGCTCACAGCAGGCCTGCGCGCTATTCAAGGGCGCCCTTCGCCGCCGGTCCGCCCACATCTGGCGAAGCAGCTCGCAGGCAAAGGGGTGGGAGTAGGCCAACCCCAGCGCCGCCTCGAAGGCCTCCAAGACATAACGCGTTAACGGCTCGTGATCATCGCCCAGGGAAGGAAAGACGACCACCTGCTCGACGTTGACTTCACTGCGGCGGCGGCCGAGGCTGGGCTTGGGGGGCGCCTCCCCCGGCGTCGGCTTTTCCCTGCCCGGGGGTGGGGAGACGGCGGAGGCGCGATGCGAAAAGCACACGGCGCAGCCGCTGCGGTAGCGAATCGAATCCACCCGAAGCAGCCCGAATTCCCCCCCCCGCGTGGCCTCCTGGCGGGGCCT